GGCACACAACAACTGTTAGGGCCCTTTGTACCCTCAAAATACTTTTGTAATAAAATTTTTATTCCACATAATGTCAAATATCTTTATGAAAAATGAATATAAAATAATAATTACAAATTAACTATGGTTTATTGAATTAAAATATGTATATGTATCTTACCGATCACTTGTAAGTAGGGCCAATAACGCAGCATCTTTATTTTCGTCCTTTGATACGGACAACAGAAGATTATCTGGCAGTGGAGTGTCACTTATGACACCACGTACGCCATCCGTTATGCCTAAATGACTAATAATGCTTAGCCGTGTTGGTAACGTTGCTGTTGCAGTTAGGCCCAATACTGTGCGAATACCCAAGTTCTGTCTTAGAACCTTGCAAATCATCAGATAGCTAGGGCGAAAATTGTGACTCCATTGCGATACACAGTGCGCCTCGTCGATGCAGGCAAAGGCAATTGGTGGTAGTTGCCGCAGAATTGCGCCAAAACCAGTGGAACGTTCGCCAGCCACTACTGCTTCCGGTGACACTAACAAAATATCCACTTCACCAGCAGATATTTTCTCCATTACCTTAAGTTTCTGTTGGGGTGTTTGATTTGTGTGTAGGCAATGTGCTCGCAAAAAATGTGGCACACCGGTCACCTGATCTTCCATAAGGGACACGAGCGGTGATATAACTAATGTTATTGCCCGTCTGCGATGGCTATACAAATAAGCGGGCAACTGATAACATAACGACTTTCCGCTGCCGGTGCTTAGAGTAACTAACGTTGAAAGACCAGATAGTATACGCATAATTGCACGGTCTTGGCCTTTTCGAAAATTGGTATGACCGAACATACGCAATGCATCTGTTACTTCGGAGGGAACGTCGGTACGTACATTTCCTTCGGAATCGAGTTCATAAAGAGGACTGATATCGCCAAACTGTGTACCTGATATTTTTTCATTCGTACTTGTCGAATGTAAACCGGCTTCTTTAAGAAAACTTTCTGGAATTTGGTGACCTACATATTTTTTAATGGGTGAAACTTGAGTAGTCGGAGTGGATAATTGTTCTAGGTTTATATTTTCAAGCTCTTCATCGCTTTCAAAACCCATACTATTCTCGCTTTCATAGTCATCAACAGAGTTACCATTACTTCGGTTACCGCCCGTGGTCTCCTCATCTACTTCTTCATCCTGCTCATCTGTGTTTTCTTGCTTTTCTCTTAGGCAACCATCTTCACTGTTCTGATATAACGCAGTATTTGGTGCAGCTGGCAATTTCGATATATTTCTGCTGTGCACCACAACCTTATTATGAGCTGCCATACGCTCGGCTTCTTCAAGTGTTGGAAATGGTGAGGGATCCTCTTTGAGCTGTGCTGACAGCGGCAGCAAGGAGTCTCCCTTGACCTTACATTGAGAGGCGAAATGACCCACTTTCCCGCAATTGAAGCACGTTAGAACACCTCCGTCGCAGCCGCCCATGTCCATGTCTGGGCCGGCAAGAGCAGCAATTTTCTTTTTGTGACGCCACTGTTTTTTCTTGTACTTAGAATAGTTCATATGACGTTTTCCACGTGCAAATATCTTTTTTTGCAGGTTTATAGTTGTGCAGCAGCTCAGAAAACAAAAGAAACTCATCCTTTTTATTTATGCCTTTAGGATTTGAGCCTTTTTTCAAGTTTAACGAAGTTTATTACATCACTAGCATAGAGTTGAAAATTGCAGTTTTAAATTTTTATAAGAGAGAAAAAAATCCTATAATTTTTTTTCAAGTACATATTTGGCAAAACTTTGTCTACAGAGCAAAACAAAATTGTATACGAGTCATTTAATTAAAATTCGACGTTAATGAAAAATATTTGTATTTTCTTGGACTAATCAAATTTTCTGTGCTTTCTTTGGAATTAACAAATTTGCGTTTCACCGAATAGACTGCGCCTATTGTTCAGTCCATGGTACGTTCGATTTTACATAAATCCACGAAAATACTATCACTGAGTTCGAATAGCTACGAACGTATAAATATCCACAGGTACTCTAATTATAAGTAAGATTGATGCAAGCTGATTTTCGGTTTTTTTAAATAAAATTGTAATCAATTTTGGTTCTCTTAATCAAAGGGACTCTTGCTGCTGCCCCAATTATGAAGATTTCCCTCGGGCTTAAGTACAGGATCTTATCAAGATGCACTGCTCATAGGGCCTGATATTCCGGGGCATGCGAATCTCTGCATTCTTCCGATGATCATTTTCCGTAAATTCCGTACCGTGACAGTCCCCAGTTTGTCGGAATGCCATTTTGCGGATAAGGTATGCTGTATATCTAATTTTGCATTCTCCTCAATGTTACGTCACCATGTTAGTTTAGAGTCGAAAGATAAAACCGAAGTACTTCGCCTTCCGTGAAAACATTTCTCTACTTAAGCAAACATTGTTTATGGATAATATGATGAACTTTTTATAACATTTTCCCATAGTGCCACTGCTACGAAAAACATGTATGTATGCCTATTTACGAGTATTAAGAACCCAACAAGCAAAATAAACTTAAAGTCGGTTTTATTTTACATAGATTTTATAAAGCGAAAATGCTTATCTTGGTATAAAGTCAACAGTAAATATAGCTTTTATTAAGAAAAGAGCAAAGCAAAATAAGTACAAAGTTTTTTTTTCATATCAAAATTAAAACCCCCTAGGTAGAAAATGTCAACCCTCCGAGTGTACTTCTGCCATAAAAAAGCAGAACACGAGTGCGACGAGATGCTCAGCAAAACATGTAGAAAGCGTTTAAGCGCCAAGCATTCGTTTATTGGACTCAAATATGACATACTGTTCATCGCCAAATAACCTAGGATATAATTTTGAAACTATTTAGTGGCTTCCCTTGATCGATCAAAAAATCCGGTTTATTCGATATTCGAAAAATCAATATTTCACAAAAACCGCCTATAGATTGCCAAAAAACTGGTGGGAACCGATTTGGAAAAACCTAGTCAATCACCCTAATACATACATATAAAAACTGCACCTTGGCTGTTTTTTTAACGCAATATCGAAATCTCAAAATATTTTGAAATCTATCTACACAAAAATAGCTACATATGTATATATTTTATATGTATTATTTACTAGCTTCACAACCACTAGTGAAGATCTATGACAATATCGAAGTACGCACTAAGCAAAATTGACTTTAATTAAATTTTTTTTCAACTACAGACTACATGGACAACGTTTTTCTAATTATTCAAAAATTTTAAATGACGAGAGTTAATTTTTGATTGGTAATTTAAAAAAGCATGCAATTTTATGCTGTAATTTCGATATGATTGAATATAATTATTGAAAAACTGAAATAAAACTTATGTGTGTACTACATGTTACTACATATTTATATATTTAAGGCCATATTTAGTTTATAATTTATTATGTTGCATATTTTGGCCAGCACTGGTTATATATGTATATAGTATATTACCTTTTCCCTGTCCCTATTACGAAGCGTTATTTTCCTGTAAATTTCAGATTTACTGACTGCCATTCGATAATAGTTTACTGCACGCGTCGGGATGAGTGTGAACGCGTATCTTCATACCTTCGCACATGTATGCAGGATCAATATAAAGAGAAAGATGCTTCAGCCAATGGCAAGCGAAAGCGTAAGCGAGTAAATTGGGCTGCGGAGCCTTATCATGCTGGTATGCCGTCTTCACGGCGTCGCACAATACAAAACGCCTTTATGAGCAATGATCTACGCATTGTAGTGGCAACCATAGCTTTCGGTATGGGTATCAATAAACCAGATTTACGTGCCGTTATTCATTACAATATGCCCCGCAATTACGAAAGTTATGTGCAAGAAATTGGTCGTGCCGGTCGAGATGGCAAGCCAGCACATTGCCATCTCTTTTTAGATGCGCGTGGAGGGGACAAATGTGAACTACGTCGACACATCTATTCGAACTCAATCGATCGACATGTGATACGCAAACTGTTGCAGCACGTTTTTGTGNGGAGGGGACAAATGTGAACTACGTCGACACATCTATTCGAACTCAATCGATCGACATGTGATACGCAAACTGTTGCAGCACGTTTTTGTGCCTTGTGCCTGTGCCAAGAAGGGGCAGTCGGAAGAGCAATATCAGAGAACCCAAGCTGCCAAAAATGAATTGGTGATTAATGCAGAATCGCAAGTGAATAATCGATTTTGTCCCGGCCATGAAATCGGATTATCGGTCGAACGGACCGTTGAAGAATTGGACATACCAGAGGAGAATATTTCTACATTGCTGTGCTATTTGGAGCTGGATTCTCGCTGGAATATTAGTGTGCTTAGCAACGCCTATACCATGGCCAAGGTCATATCATACGGAGGTGCCAAGTATTTAAAGTGAGTTCTTGAATTGAATGAGTTCTGTGAAATGGCATAAAATACTTAATATTTTTACTGAAAATTTGCAGACATGCTGCCAAGGAATGTGCCCCATTAGCTATGGCTATTGCGCTTGAAATAAAACAAAACAAATTTAAGGACGATTCAAATTTAATAGAGTTCTCCGTGGTTGATGTTGCTGCTGCGATTGGCTGGAATAGTGGTGTGGTTAAATATCAACTTAAAAATTTAGAGTGGACCCAAGGTAATTAAAATTAAAACCTCCAAAATATGTTTAAGTAGTTTGTGCAAGTCCTTGCAAGAAATTCCAAAAAACCGAAGAAAGCTTATGGCGATGAGAATTGAAAATACACATCCTTAATCGAATTCAGGGGATAATTTGATATACTACCCTGCGCACCTTTAGCTCATACAGTTTGAAGTATTTCTACTATATATATATTTCTACTAAATATGAACTATAAGTGTGAAGTGTGTGAACTCTAGGTGGGCAGGGTAGTACATATACCCTTGTGGTCAGTTGATTAAGCTAAGTGACATTTTGACCAGTTTTGGATATTTTTAACCGACATCAAAAAAAGGAGCAGGTTATTAATTCGTATGTTATGTATCTTACCGCATAACTTTGGACCACGTCAACCGATAATTCTTATTTCATCGGAAAGGTAGTGTCTCACAGGTGGTCCCATACTAATTTGGTTTAGATCCGATCATTGGATTATGAAAAAAATTAACGATACTCCTAAAATTTTATATAAGAATTGAAGTCGGTTGTGTTCTTTTGCGTAAAAATTACTTGTTCCTTAATGCTTATAATTTTTTTTGTTATAAAAGTCTAGCATATTCAGAGCTGGGTCGTAATGATTCCTTTAAGAATTAAATTACTCCCAATTACAAATTACAAGGCATTGTAATTAGGAATCAATTCGTTCAGTCCACAGCAAAAAAATTGATTACTTTTTTCAATTCCTTAGAAGTAATTTCAAATGTAATTGTTTTTTTTTTTTTGAATTCCATTACAAGGAATCTCATATTGTGATTTGAATAAATTATGTGCTACTAATATAATTTTTCCCCCATTTCCTTTGAAAGGAATTGAAAATGTAATATATTTTCTTCCAATGCCAAATGCAATGCCAAAATGCCATAACTAATCCGAATGGAGCCTTGGGTCACCGCAAAAAGAGAGAGCTTTGGTGGGACCACTCCGACTTATTCGGTTTAAGGGCTCACTGAAGTCTGTTCACCAGTAGGTGCGGCTGTAAGCGGGTGTCTGCTTGGAGCAAGCGGCTCGCTATATAAACGTGTATTTGGTTGCGAAACCACCCCCGTCCCAGCAATGGGTTGTGCGCTGGATTTGGGACACGCCACGTAAAAACCACTTCCAGTGAAGAAGCAAGGCAAAGCATCGGATGAGACCCCCTCTTATGATGACGACCACGGCAAACGTTTAATGGACTACGATGTGAGGGCATGCACCTGGAATGTCCGGAATGTGTAAAGGAGCGCAAATTCGGTGTTGGATTTATGGTGGGAGAGAGACTCCGTCGCCGAGTACTGTCGTTCACCCCGGTGGACGGGCGTCTATCCACAATCCGCATCAAAGCGAGATTCTTCAACATCTCGCTCATCTGCGCTTGCGTGCTTGGAGAGCACGTATGAGCGCTGCCCCCATCATGATATAAAAATCATGCTTGGCGACCTCAATGCCAGGGTGGGCAAGGATGGGATCTTTGGATCTTCGGATTGAGGCTGATCGACTTCGCCGGGGCCCGAAACATGGTAGTATGCAGTACTAGGTTCAAGCATAAAAATATCCATCAAGCTACCTGGCTGTCTCCGGATCGAAAAACGAGAAACCAAATCGATCATGTTGTGATAGACGGAAGGCACGCTTCCAGTGTTTTAGACGTACGCACACTCCGAGGCCCAAACATCGACTTTGCGCAGCAAAAAATGTGCGCCCAAATATGCAAGGAAAGCTTAACGTCGAAAAGCTGCAATCACAACTGACTGCCAGTGCTTTCGCTACTCGACTCTCACACCTGCTCTCGGAGACCACTCTTCAACAAACCGACATATGCGAGCAGTGGAACCACATTTCTCGCTCATTAAGTACCGCCGTCGAAGAAGTAGTCGGATTTCAGCGAGCCCGAAAGGACAACTAGTACGATGAGGAGTGTCTGGAAGCTGCAGAGAAAAAAGATGCCGCCTACAGGGCCACGCTGCGATCGGGCGCAACGCGCGCTATGTGGGACCGCTATAGGGATTTGAAGAGGGAAGTGAGACGTATTTGCCGCAATAAGAAGAGCGAGGCCGAAATACGTGAGTGCGAAGAGCATGGAATGCTGGCCGACAGGAAGAATGCCCGAAAATTTTACCTAGAGTTAGGCGACTTACGGAAGGTTTCAAGACCAGGGCGTTCTCCTGAAAGAACAACAATGGCGACATAGTAACCGATGTTCAGGGCGTACTTAAATTATGAAGGGAACACTTCGCCGCCCTAATGAATGGTAGCAGCACGGAAAGTTGTGGAGAAGAAGAACCCGAGCCCGCAGTCTATGATGACGGAGTCGACGTTCCACCACCTGACTATGACGAGGTACGAATAGCAATAACGCGGCTGAAAAGCCACAAAGCTGCTGGAGCTGACAGCCCGCCAGCTAAGATATTCAGCCCTATTCTGCATTTCGACTCGAATCGAAATTTTCTCCGTTTGGCAACTTTGGTATTCTGCGTTCCGTTTCCTTTCGATCAATCTTCGAAATTTACGATTATACCGATTCTACATTTCGATCGTAGTTCCGTTTTTCTAAGTTGCAAATTTGTTGACGGAGAACGTTTCGATTGTTATTTTCGTGGGTTTAAATAATAAAATTGTATAAAAAATTAAATAAAACATACGAGCGGTTATACGGGCAATAAGAAAAATTTGCTCAAATAAAGACAATCAAAAGGGATATTGCGCGAGGTTTTCAAAGAGGAAATCCAGGCGTTTTTGTTTTCATTATAAATAAGACTGTGAAATGCACTGAATACCATTTATTCCTTTTATATAAATTAATAGATGTATGTGCATACATACATGCATACATACTTAAAATGTGAAGTTTCATAAAAAAAGATGCTTTTATTATTGCCCATTTTAAAAAGAGGTGCGTATGTTGTCTCGAATTCGATTTGCAATGGAAGGATAAGCTTTGTTCTTCCCCTACTCTTGACGGCTTTCAAAATGGAATTCATTTGCGTTCAAATCCTCCACTCTGTAGTAAATGCAAATGTTGTGGAGTGCTCAAACAACGTTTATAATTTCACTGGCTTTGAGCGATGAGTAATACAGTTCAAGATGAATTTCTTATGACTCGTCACTCATCTGAAAAAGATCAAACATGCCCCTAAATCTCCGCCTTTCAACTTCCGCATCAGCAATCTGAGACTCGTTCTCCTCTTCAAGCAATAACGCCGCGGCTATGGATTTCATTCTTATAATTATGTTTCCACTTAAATTTTATTTTTAAATTACAGTAATGCTAGGTATATTTAGTTATTTTAAAATATTTACAAACTTTAACTTCATAAGCTGCTATAGTTTGGTGGCAAATATTTCTTTGTTTTGTTTCGATTTCACACATTCCTAGGCTAACAGCTGATTTTGAAAGATGTTTTCTTTCTTCCTCTTCTTTCGATTCGATCGTAACGCAGAATACCTAATTTCGATTCTTGCGAAGCGGAATGCGGGAACGGAATCGAAATGCAGAATAGGGCTGATTCAAATACGGCGGCGAGGAGTTGATAAGGTGCATGCATCAACTCTTGGTCACAATATGGTCAGATGAACGCATGCCCGACGACTGGAATTTAAGTGTGCTATGCCCAATCCCCAAGAAAGGTGACCCCGCCATTCGCGCCAACTACCGCGGGATCAGCCTTCTAAGCATAGGTTACAAGGTCTTATCGAGCGTATTGTGTGAAAGACTGAAGCCCACCGTCAATGAACTGATTGGGCCTTATCAGTGTGGCTTTAGACCTGGCGAATTCACCATAGACCAGGTATTCACAATACGCCAAATCTTGGAAAAGACCCGCGAGAAAGAGATCGACACTCACCACCTATTTGTCGACTTTAAAGCCGCTTTTGACAGCACTAAAAGGAGTTGCCTATACGCCGCTATGTCTGAATTTGGCATCCCCTCAGAACTCATACGGCTGTGTAAAATGACGTTGAGCAATACCACCAGCTCCGTCAGAATTGGGAAAGACCTCTCCGAGCCGCTCGCCACCAAACGGGGTTTCAGACAGGGCGAAGTCTGTTTTACCTTTTCCAAGTTGGATAGGGAAGCAGAGCGAATGGATCTGGTGGTAAACGAGAACAAGACGAAG